ACCAGGTGTGGTTTGTGCACCCCTGTGAAAAGAAGGGGAGGCGGTGGAGTAGTGATCTCCCCTCCCCCCAACACCACCCATAAACAAGCTTCCTCAGGGACGCACAGGGTCAACTGCGGTCAAAACCATGCCACGCACGTGCAGTGGCTATTTTCTGGGCTTTTGAAATGATATACCGAAGTGATTTAAGTTCAAACAACATTTTTTTTAGATCCACAATCAAACTCCATGTTTTTAAAATATTTATTTAGTCCATTACATCTTGCTGATTGGTTCGTGAATAATGTGAACACTAACCAAAAAGGCCTCCATGAATTGATTCCATCGCTGGGGCTGCCGCTGATTATCCCTCCCGCCAGCATATGGGAAATAGGTTAGGATTATTATGGTCTGGTTCTGCTACGACAACAGAGAGAGCAGACAGAGGAAAGACAATCAGGGCTCATCAGCCGACTCCCTCACACCTTTATTTACCCCAATCCCGACGAGATGAGGAGAATTAGCATAATGATTTCTAACCCAGATATAAGGAGGAATTTCTAATTATTTATAACATCTTGGGAGCCTCCGCTTGATCTGTCCAATAATGTTAACATAATTGCATAAGTTGTCAAAGGGTGTTGGAGGGCTAGTGGAGGGACGCCGGAGGAATATTACGCAGCCTTGTGTTTCTCCGCACAGGAAGATGGAGTGAGGGTCAGAGAGGTGGAACAGCTGCAGGATGTTGGTGTGTGTGGATTTGTGTCTGTCAGATGGAGAAATAAAAATATACAAACGGAGATGTTGCATTTCGGAAAAAAAATATTGTTACCTGCATGTATTTTAGTGGAAGGAGAAAAGCTGTATTTTTGGAATTATGATGATTAAATTACATTTTTACATCGCTCAATAATCTGTTTCTGTGCTATACTGACAAAGGCATAAATCTGGGGTTAAAAGAAAAGTTTAGAAAAATATCAATGTCAAACGCTTTAAAGCTGAAAGCCCTTTCAGAAGGAGGAGGCTGAAGGAACCATTACACTGAAACCCTTTATTGAAAACCCTCCGAATACAGTAAAATGCAGGGAGTCGCACAGAAGCGGAGGAGGTGCCTCACACATCCTGTCCTTTCTATAGCTAATGCTAGAGTAGAGCAGAACCGACTCTTTTATTGTGCAGCAATGAAACTCTTTCATTGCTCCGTCCTGGAATCAGACGCTGCACTTGAATAATGCATTAGGCCTCTTGCCTGTACACTATGTAAATAGTCAACAATGGGCAACAGTGGTAACAACAGGTTTGGGTCTGCTGCAGTATTATGTAAAGTGGTCGGGGGCAGCCTGCGTGTGGCTCTCCAGCTCGCTATTGAGTCCACGGCAGGCCCCTCTGAGCGCAGGGGGACACATCCTGCGCCCCGGGGCCCGGAGGGGACACGCACAGAATTAATGAGGCCAATTTAGTGCTGGACCAGGATGGTGTCTACTTATGGGTCCTGGAGGACTATAGGAGCTTTGCCTGCAACCACCCCCTCCACCACCAAACTTTACCTCGTACTCCAGCTCCTCCTCCTGCTGTAGCCTCCAGGAAGGTTCTGTACTCGCTGGAGGACGCCCGAACCACCTTCACACCACAGAAATGTATTCTTTAGGAATCTGGATGATTAACAAGTGGCCGTGCATGCTTGTAGAGCATGAGATGTCACAGAGAGTACACACTGGTGTTTGTTACACTGGGTTCCCTTTAGTGCCTGGAGAAATGCCTTTACACACCCATATTTGAACATTTTCACAACATTTTACTTTGAATTTGAATACTCTAGGCCTTCATCGATTTTGCAGGTGCTAACCTAGTTTTCTTCTTCCTTCTCTTGTTCTCAGGTAACATAGAATACAGCTGTCCCGCCACAAACGAGTGCGAGATCACGAAACGAAGACGCAAATCATGTCAGGCCTGTCGCTTCATGAAATGCCTCAAAGTGGGGATGCTCAAAGAAGGTAAGAAGAGTAAGAACATTTTTTATTATTCCTGCATCCACAAGATACACATAACAGCACTGTATGTATTATATATATTATTTTTGGTATAAAAACACATTTATGCAAAAACAAAACCTCCATTCATGCGATAAGGGGAATAGTGGAATACTGGGACATCACACACTCACAATGTTTTCATTTCGGAGTGAGAGATGCACATAGACACTGGTTCTCGGCCCCTCCGTCCTCCCCCTCCTACCTACACAGCAGTAAATAATTTGCAGTTGAGCTGGGGACAGAAATATGCTGAATAGGTTGATCCCGCCGTCTGAGTAATAGAAATGTAACAGTATTCCGCCAGGAAAGGCTTGGGCCAGGTCCCTGAGCACACACAGTCTCAGCTCTCCCCGGCATATTGATCCACTAAATGTTTTCCGAACATCTCAGCTCTCTTCCTGTGGATGCTTTTTTTTTTTTTCTTTTTAAGTCACACCAGCAGGGAATTCAGCGACAATTAAACATGCTTCCGATGGATTTGTCTGGCTGGGGCTCTTTCCCCCCTCCACCCTCCCTTCCTATATTGCAGACTTAGACGGAGCTCCTTGAGACCCCGAGGCTCGGCTGCTCTTCTGGGGGAGGCACCTATCCGTTCCCTCTTATCCCGTTGTATTAGTGAATGTGCTCTCACCTGCCTCTCTCTTTCACTCTCTGTGTCTCTTCCTCACTTGTTGGTGGCTCCTAAAAGGGCCAGACAAATGAATAATGAAAGATATGTGGCTCGGGGGGGTGAAGTGACAGTGTTGTATTTATTCAAGCCTCCTCTGGGAGCAGCTTAGGTATTCTGTAAGGAAAGATGTTTTTATTTTATTTTTTTCTTCCTTTCCTCAAGTGCTGATGAGTGTGGGTCAGGTGGTGCTTCTGCTGTGCAAAGTATGCTCTTCTCTTTTAGTTATATAAATACGAGCAGACAGAAGATGTAACGATGGATGAAATTCTGCAAAAACCATACACCTTTTCAATTCCCTGTCAAACTCTTTAGAGTATATATATATATTCCAGCATTATTCTTCTCATTATTCTTCGGAGAGCAGGATTTATAGTTGCATATATATCCTTTTGCCACTTGAAGCCGGAGTCACAGCCCGTATGGATCTCCACACAGTAACAGAATCCCCTGGACTGCATGCAGCCAGATAAAGCCTCAGTGCCAGAAAGCCAGAGTAATCGCATTACTATCTGATGAAAAATTTATGCCAATATATCATCTTGGAGAATAAGAGACTACAAAAATATGGAGCTTTGGCTATAAATGAATGACCAGTGTCAGGTCAGAGTTAAAAGAGTGTAAAACTCAAATATGCAGACTTCGGCTAAGCCCGAGGTTCTAATGCACACTTCTGTGTGTTCAGCACATCGCCAGAATAAGAATGACCCTCCCTTTTTTACATAGCGACTGTCATTGCCAACCTCTGCAACTATTGTCACAGACTGATTGAAGCCTTGTGCAGGTGTAGCCAGAGATCCTGATTTCTCTCACAAATGATTAAACCCGCTCGTCACAATCGAACAGAGGGATGCGAGGTGCAGTTTTGCGTCAGCTCAGCCACGAGGCAGTGTCACCAGGGTAAAATGGAAAGAGAGAGACACATGGTCTGTGGCCACTGTAAGCTCCATGAAGCCATCGGCTCAACGCCATGCTCGGGCCCCGGGTGTGGAGATGGTCACCGCTCATGTGACTGAGGTTGCAACTTACTTTCATTACTGCAGAAAGGTCACATTGTATCTGAATGGAAAGTCACCTAATTATAACTCCTCAGCTCCAACAAAGTACAGTGCTGCCCCCCAATGAAACAGAAGTTTCAACCCATCATTATATCTCAACAATATTAAAGACTTCCAGAGGAAATCAAGATATTTCTGTTTTTATTTGGATTTATACTTCAAACAATTAGTTCATATAAGCAGGTGGAAGGAAAATGCTCCCAGAAGATCAGCAGTCTAATTACAGGAGAGCTGCCTAAACCCTGTGTCGAGTCGCTGTATTTTCCCTTGACTGTATAAAGGAGGAAGTGATCAATAGGAGAATCAAATGTCGGGGGGCAACAGGTTTTTCCTCAGATCAATGGAAACTGATCAGAGCTTAGAGCGAGAGAGAGAAGACAAGATACTATTGAGAGATTACATTGACATCATTCAGTGGCAGTTGCTCCCTGCACCGACTTCCTCTCTCCCCCTCGCTCAGTCACACACAGAAGCCTCCACATACAAACCCACCCAGAATATAGTTTTTTGTAAAGTTAGATAGATATTTTTGGCTGGACTGACCATGGTCCAGTTTTACACCTCAGACTGGCTGATAAGAGTCGAGTCCATGTTGAAGTTGAACAGCCGACCGCCTCATGATTTACTGAAGTTCCACTGATAGTTGGAAGTTTCTCAGTGGGATGAACTTCTTATTAGATTTTAGGCTGCCAACTGGCCACTGACCACAATGAAAATTAGCCTCTTGGCATAGTTACAGTGTTGATATTAATATGCACTGTCCCTGAAAAAAGCTTCTACTGACCAATTAACCATATTTTGGAGTGAGACAGTTTTCTGTGATGATTTTAAAAGACATCATTACAAAACTATATGTCACTCAGTAGAGCGCATACACGTCCGTCACGGCTCAACAGCCACCTTAAATTCAATTAATCTGCACCGAATTACACACACTCTTAGATATCAGTTCCCTAAATGTGCCTGATTCTTTTTTTTAAATCCAGATACATTAAAGATAAATTCGTCTCTGGGGAAATGGGGAAACAGTTAAAATATTGGGCAATGTTAAAGAAAGAGAAACGATTCCTGGATCTGACCCCTGGTCCAAATATACACCAAAATTCAAGAGGATCTTCCCTTACCCATACCCCATCCTTCCACCAAGTTTAATTTAAATCTGTCCAATTGTTTTTATGTAATCTTGCTTTAAAACCAACCAAATGGTAAAATACTGTATATGTGACCACAGAGTCGGACAGAAGCGATCAGATAAAGAGCTGAAACCAGCTGACACAAGGCAGAATGCAAATTGACGAGATGACGTCATGAGTATGCAAAGACCGATGTGGTTTCACATCTTCTCACTTACACACCTTACAAGGTTCAGTCACATATTAGAATTTGACCTCGTCGTTCTGTACACGTCTGTAGCCTTGACTACAGACAATGTATTGTGTCCTCACAGTGTAACAGTACTGCGTTACGAGAACATGGAGACAGACTGAACAAAGAAGCAAAGTGTGTAAGCGCTGATATACAATACACGTCTCATTGTCCAGCAGACATGGCATGCAAAGAACAACCACATCCCACAATAGCCCCATTACAGTCACATACACAACATACAGAACATGCATGCAAACCACACCACGCTCACATGTATGGTTCCTGAAATACTAGACATGTAAATGTGCACTTGTGTCACAGACCGTCTGTTATAGCAGCCGCCGGGATGTAATCATGACAATAGTAATATAGTTATAAAGAAGCTTCTGCTGATAAAGTCTTGTTGAATTCTTTTTATTACTTAAATCGAAAACAATTAGCAGTATGAGCAGGGATGTCAGATCAAAAGGGATGTTGCAGCTAACCTGTAAATGGAGTATGTGACGGGGGTGTCACTATGGCAGCCCCTGAGGGTCAGCAGATGGGGAGGCGGCGCAGAGGCCTGACAGTTTTTCCGCTACCCTCGCTCATCACCACTCGTGATTAAAAATGCTGCAACACACTTACAAGCATGCAAAGCTGGCAACGGGGGCTCTTTGAAATAGTGCTGATGGCAGTTTAACAGGGCGGCTTCCTTGAAAGGCAAGGTTCACCATGCCTTGCCATGTGGCCTTCTGATTTTCCCAGCTAAAAAAGGGTCCACCTAAGCCCCCCTTGGCATTGCCAACCATCCCAGACATCCTGACACTTTCCCACAGGGAGAGACACCCAGAACAGGTGAGCGACTCAAAATAAGGGCCCCTAGCACGGCCGACCGCACAAAGTGAGTGAAGACAGGCTCTTCTGTAGGAGTGTGCTTGGAAGGGGATTATTATTGTTTTTGGAGAGAAAGAAGAGCCCCGGGTCAGCTGGCCCCAGCCCCCACCCCGAGGCCTTGGCTAATCCGTGCACAAATGCCAGCCGCCTTGGCCAAAAGCCCTCTCCCCCAGCACACTGCTTTGAAGAGATGATACCCGAGCTCACCCACCGCTACCCTTGCTACACTGTGTAGTAGGCCATAAAACAGTGATAACTTTAGATGAAATGGTACTCAACCCTCTTCACACATTTCTAACACACCTACTGTTTACTCTGGAGGAAGCACAACACACTTAAAGCTTCGGGTGTCACCAAAGGGACATATGAACCTCACAAAGGCTCCTATAAAGTCCTGGACTTAGTGCCTGACAGCACGAGTGAATGAATCCCTCTAGCTGCTCTTAATCACTCTCTCTTCCCCTCTCTGCCTGTGTCTGGCCCGGTTGGACAGTAAAATGAGACAGGTTAGTGCCAAGCTTTAATTCCTGTCAGCATCTGTTAATTATGGCCAGGACTGCTCTAATTAAAAGAGGCACCCATCTACCTTGATCGCTAGCTTTACACCGGCTGACACGGCCACATGACTCAGGCAGCCGAGAGGGTCGCGGGGAGCAGAAGCGCAGCCACCTGGCAGCGGCTGAGCTCATCGGGAGAGTGTCGGAAGAAAGTTTAGAAAGTGGTGACATCAGGTTTGACAGCGAGAGGAATTTTTCCATGCCAGCAGACGTAACGGCAACATGTGCGCTGAACTGAAAAGTTCTTAAGCACTTAAACCTGAGCAGGGAATGCAGGGAGTTGAACACTATTCTCAAGATACCTTCACAGGGGGAAAAAGCATTTCCTGATATGATACACATAAAGTCGAAATTGTCATCGTGTGGGATTGTGCGTGGGTGTGTGTAAAGTACAGGTTGTTGCCATCAGATGATTCCCCCCAGTGCCTGCTGGGAAGGTTGGGGCTCTGTTGGGAATCGGGGGTAATTAGGTTAGTGGGTTGTCAGTGTCAGGAAATTGAAAGACAATCCTAATCAGATTTGTGTTTCCAGGGAATCAAATAATTTATATAAGTAGACAAAATCTCTCTTCTACAGTTGCATGATAATAATACAGTTTGCTGGACACCCCCCCTCCTCACCATGCTCTTAGTTTTGGAAAAAGGAGCCATGTAAGATAAAAGATATTTTGCATAATTCCGCTGTTTGTTGAATAAAGGCCAGCGTTTCTAACAGACATCATCTGATTTCCCTTTTCCGCACTGGGCGACCTCCAATTGCCATGCATGGGACACATCCAAACTCATCCTCTCCAAGAGCACTCGCTGACGGACAAATTGTATTAGGCTCATTTGCGGTGGCTATACAATGCCCAGGTTTGACACCGTCCTCCCTGTTATAAAGTGATGAAATCATCAAGGAAGTGCTCTGGCTGCTGGGTGTTGTTCGCTCAGAGGACGCGCAGGGGGCTGACAAATTAACTCCACCACCACGGCAAGCGTTTCATTGAACCTTTTCTCCTCCACCCTTTAGTATTAAATTTGTTTTGGGTGTGTGTGTGGTGGGTGGGGGGTTGCATTATGCATACAAGGTAAATTGAAGGGATTCTCCCTCTTGACAGGATTAAGATATCAGGGATATTTAGGCTGCTCGGTCGCAGTGACACTCAACGGTGCAGGATATAAATGTTTGCATACAATTACATTAAATAACCAAATACCTGCCCGGTGGTATCAAATAAATAGAAGAGTGTAGATGAAATATTTTAACTATGTTGAAAATTAATAGAATAGAAAAGACATCCAAATGGAAACATCCTTATCAAATAATGAGATAATAAATAACTTATGTTATGATGAGGCCGGTTTGACATTTACAGTATCAGTGTGGAACCTGGGCCTCTAGGTGTGGCCGGGGGTGATAAGGCCCCGGTGCTCCTCCAGTGAAAGAGGGGTGAAATAAGGGTCTTTTATGGGAAAGCAATACCTAGTTATCTATCTGCTGTATGACAGTGGGTGTTTTGTACAGTGTGTGTGGGGTCTGTGTCTTTGCTTGTACGCTGGTAAAGTTTCTTTTTTCTGGATCCTGACAAGAACACACCTGAGATCTCTCCCTCTCTCTCTCACACACACACACACGCAAGGAAGCATGTAGCTGACAGCTAATTAGCATGCAGTCTGCGTCGACCAAAAACCTAAATAATTAGAAGGCCAGTCTGTGAGATCATTGACCCTGTGTTAAATATTCATATGTTTAGACCTGCTCTGGGCTCAGCTGTGTCACAGAAGACCAGCCAGGCATGGACCACATATGGGAAGACAGCCACGCCTCTGACACATTCGCGCACACACACACACACTGATGCACATATGCAGTCCTTTTTAAACGCTTACATACAAGCTAGAGACCAGTGCGGTCACTCCCACCACAGCTTTTATACATCATATAATAGTATGTTGGGGTGTTTGTACAAATGGAGGATTTATTTTGCATATATTTGTGTTTTTACTGCTGTAAATATATCGAATAATTCACAACTTAAAATGTCCATGTATTTGATGTCCCTATCATCTAAAAAAGAATGCACAACTCCTCATTTAGTGTCCTTTTGTCTTCTCTCCTGTCGCAGGGGTTCGTCTGGACCGTGTGCGAGGAGGCAGACAGAAGTACAAGCGGAGGTTGGACACAGAAAACAACCCGTACTTGGGCCTGACGCTCCCCCCTCCCACCAAAAAGCCTCGTGAGTACTGCTCTGTCACTCGCCCATTGTCTCCCTCCTCCGTTGCCCGTCCTGTTGCCCTGTCTCTCCCATGTGTGGACAGTGGACAGATATGAAACTACAATGAATACTAGTGTTTTCAAACATGTACCTTCTCCTGGCATGCATTCTGTAGGGAGAGGAGCGTTCACTCTGTCCCATTTATTAGTTTGCATAATGAGAAATAGAAAGAAATAATCAAAGTGAGGCCAACAACAATGTACAGGATATTTCACCTGTGAACAATTCTTTCTTATCAGTGTGATGCATCTTTGTGCTGCACCAAGCTCTGCTGCGATTCGACCTCTCACCCCTGCTTTGCTTTGACATCCCTGCTCCTTCCTCCTCTATCCTCAGTCACAAAGATAGTGTCTCACCTGTTGGTGGCGGAGCCGGAGAAGATCTATGCCATGCCTGACCCCACCATGCCCGAGAGCGACATCAAGGCTCTGACCACGCTGTGCGACCTGGCTGACCGTGAGCTGGTGGTCATCATCGGCTGGGCTAAACACATCCCAGGTATACCGCAATTACTTTTCCTCCATTCTCTTCTTCTTTTCAGGTGCTTCTATCTTCTCACACACCCAAAAAACCTGCACACACACACACACACACACACACAGATAATGAACGACAGCATCTCATACAGCCTCTGGGTGTGTAGGGGTGGTGCAAAATGGACGTAGCTGTGAAAGGTACGAATCAATAGAGTGCATCTAAAATCGCTGCATTGAACGGAGAGGGGGGAACACACCCGGTGCCAATGTATACTGTAATCACCAGGGAGATTTAGAGCAAAGTTGGGGACCTGCCCAGTCAAACAAGACATCATATCACATACACACACACACATGGACACACACGAGCACACACACACATTGAATTATTGATGGGCATAATCGTGTTTCTTCCTTGCCCCATAGACATTCTGATAAACGAGGTGTTAGGTTATGAGAGGCCGTTGAAGTAAGGATGCGCTGCCTCACGTCGGCACAGATTTTGCTTCCTTTGAGAGTTTTCCTCTGATTTTGACGGAGAACACGTTGTTTAGCCGCTCCTTTATTTTTTTTTCTGCCATCGAGGCAGATTCTCCTTGATCTCGTGCCTGACCCCCATAACTCTATAACATTACAGTGCTGCAGGCGTGGAGGGGGGAAACAAACTAAATGAATGTGTCCCTCAGCGGCACCTCCATAACCTCATCTTCTCATCAGCATAACTTGGGACGGGCAGACAGCTGTCAGCGTGTATGGGATGTGTGGCATCGCTGCAGCACTGATATCCGCTCTGTGGCGTGTGCATACTGGAGCATCATAACAGTTAATTTAGTAGATAAATCCACAGATTCACATGTTCATTTGTTTCCAGTAAAGTGAAGTGGACTCCAGCTGACCTCAGACAGGTGCATTTTGTTCTGAAAAGGTATTAGAGACACTTCTCAGAAGGAGGGCTATTAATCGGGTACAGATCTGATAGTAAGGAGATTAGAGATGGATATGCTCGCAGGCCCTGGCTTCAGCCGTGGCCCCTTACGCGTCTAAACTGTTTGGATCACTCCTCGCAGGCCCTGCATGGTCAGCACACTGAGAGTTTAACCAAGGAGCTTACTCAGGACTGGATCACTACTGACCCGATAACACACTCTCATCATTGTGACCCAAAAATTAGAGTGGCGACGCACGCGTGAACACAAACACTGCGACATTCCCATGCCGGCTGCTGAAGATAGACGGTATGCAGGCATGGTGGCATCACTCAGGAACACATACACAAGAAAGAATATCTTATCTTTTTCATCTTATTGTGGAAAAAATCGGAGAATGTGAAAATGGTAAACATTTGAAATTTTAAAAAATATATAATTCTTTCCATTAAGAAAACTCTTGACACACTGTTTAACATGCACTGAGTTGAAAGTTTGTATCCTGGAGTGCATCATCATTTTAATATGTGTACATTCTAACTCGGATTTTATGTGTCATCGCGCTGAAGCGCTGTTAATCAGATTATACTAACACGTATTGTGCAATGGACTGATCCATAATGTTAATGGGATTTGCCCCTCAGACTGCGGCAGAGAACTTGTCATTCCGAATCTGTCTGTAATGATCACATAACCCAAAATGCGGGGCAGTAAGTCTGCACCAATGGTGAGCGAGTACCTTGTACCCAACAGTTGCTCTGCACCTGCAAGACGATGCAGTTTAAGTAGATTATTCTGGTCTGTACAGATATAGACACTCAGACACTTGTGCTGTTGTTTTCTGTTTGGTCACATTTTTAACTTTTATACAACAATCACACATATACCTCTTAGATCAAAAAGACAGTGACAGAATAAACACTTGCACTCCAGCGAGAGAGTGCTTGGTTTGTGCTAGTCCCTCTGGTGGTGTCTGTATTAGGACAGTGGGTGTCCTCTGGCCATGAAATGGCTGCATAATTGAGTTGTACATGGCTGAACCTGATCAGAGACGGTTCACTGGTTGAGCGAGACTCCGTGCACTAACACTCCATGCACCAACGGTACCCCAGGGCAGCCTACCATGCTACGTTCCTACCATATTTCTCCCTGCGTCCGCTCCGGGACAAGAAAGGAATGGAGGTATAAAACTGCTGATTGCATTCTGATAGATTTTTGCAGCCTTAGGCAAAGGAATTAAAAAGATTAACAGTTCATTATGAAGTAGACCACATTGATTAGGCCATTGACAGATGGGCCAATAACTAAAGTCCAAACGTAACAATTTAAATGTCACGAAAATTGGCACTTACCTTCTCCCAATTGATTTTTAAATTTCCCCTATTCTAAGCTAACATTTGAAAATGTGTTTCAAAGTGGCATAATATGGAGTAGAGTGGCCCTATTGAGTTTTAATTGGAGGGCAATAGGAGGACATCAAAGCTCTGTCATTAGCGTAGATGGTGTCTTTGCCGCACAGGGTCCAATGTCATCTTTGTCATCCCGGCCCTCTTTAGCATACCAGGAAAGGTCGGTTTGCGCAAGTGAAGTGCTTTATCAGTTGTACAGGATTTTTAAAAATTAGTTTAAATGAAATGAAAACAGTTAATCAATCAGATCAGGTGCACGTGTTAGTTTAATGAGGTAGACATTGGCTGGTGTCACTTATCAAGAGCCTTTTCACAGGTATGCCATCGCCAGGCTGCAGCCTCACCCTCGTTCTGAGTCTGCGTTTGATTAATTGATAATCGCTGCGGAGCTTTTGGACACGAGTGTGACTGCTCCAAATAGCATGAAGCAGTCTAACACGGCTGTTGCCTGGGGGAGCAGGGTCATTAGGAACAGTGGTAGGGGGATGCTGACAGATGGCTTGTTGGTCCTAAGGTGCTAACAACCTTTGACACACATAGCAGTGCACTGTCCACCCCTCTGGCCCCCTTCCATCCCATAAAGCTGCATTTCACTCTGTCCGAGAGGTTTAGGGAGGAACTGAGTGTTCTGACAGCTTCAGTACACCCGACCCTGTTTACCACCTTGACACTGTCGCCTTCCTCAGGAGTGACAGAACGTCAGCGTGACCCCTGAAGCCCTTTGCCACCCTGCATCCCTTCCCACCCGCAGTGGGAATGTCATGTGTTCATATGTAAAAACTGCCGTGCATGCTGCTTATTCAAGAGGCGCTTGTCGTTTGGTGTTTGCCAGCTTCCACCGCAGCTTCCCAGGCCCGAGTGTTTTCATCTGGGAATTCTCTGAAGGGTGAGGGGCCAAGCAAACATTGACACTCTGCTGCTGCTGCTGCTGCTGCTCCTACACAATAAAACATATTTTTGCTCTGGCATGTCACCACTAGAATGTAAAATATTTAAACAACATTGTAATTTATACTGTGTCAGACACTCATTTTTGTTTATAGTGTGTAGAAATTAATTTCCTACATCCTTCTCTTGTGTTGCTGCATTTTTTAGTATTAGATGCCGACCAGATTAATCTAATGAAACAGGATTGGTTGCATTGTTCTATTCATTACTGGTGTTTTGGGAATATTCATCATCTGTGCGTTATTGGATTCCAGCTCATCAGCTCTGAGGCTGACAGACAGCCGCCTGCCGCGTTAGCTGTTAGCATCGGAGGCAGCGATGTTAAAAGGAGATCGCACCTCGTGTACGTTGTCGTGTTTGTGTCAGCTCAACCCTCCACCGTAATCACCCAACCACCAGCCCATCAGCCCACCCTCCTCCAGCCCCCTCCGGGCTCCTGTTTTCTCTTTGCCATTAAATTGTGAAATCTACTTACTGTGTTGCCAGCCTGATCCCACTCAAGCTGCGTAATCTCCTTGTAATAGAGTGTGAATACTGCCCAGCAATAAATCAGCACCTCATCAGTGCACTATATTAAATATAGACACCAACAGACAGCTCTTAGTATATTCAATTTACCCTCTGACGTAGGCTTCAACACAGGAGATAAAGATAGATTGAACAATCAGGTGGATGCTGAGGCCCCGGACCCAGGCAGGAGAGCGGGAAGACAGCGGAGAGGTTGCGGGGAGATTGAGATGGGGGCGTATCGGCGACAGACAGGCAGTCAGGAGTGTGCACGGCCAGGAAGGGGACATTTGCCAGGCAGGGTGGGGGGAGGGCTTTGTCTAGTTACTGTGACACATGAGCAGGTACATACAGCATCGAGATTATATATACGCACAGTTCATATTGTGAATCCATAGAAAATATGTAGAAATTCTTAAACTGCATCCTCACGTGTTTAATTTTCCACAATATTTGATTTTAGGAACTCTTTAATGCTGATGTGCCTTTAAGTGATCGTCAGCAGTGCACCATCCCTCATTAAGCAATGTTGCTTGATGGCAGCGGAGATAAATTATGTGTAATTACAGCAATGATTAAAGCCTGATTCGCGCTGGCCTTTGCGGCTAAACAAGAGATATGTAACAGTCAGTGTTGGGCGGTGGGACCCTGGGGAGGGCTAAAGACTTCCCCACTCGGGTCAGGAGGTCACAGGGTACAGATTAAAACAAGGGGATTACTGTATTTGACGTTACTCAACCTAATAACGTTCACAGGCTACTGGTCAAATCACCCATTCCCCAGCTACTTACAAAGGGATAATGGGCTGGTTATCACGTCCAAAGACGGCAGATAGCTGTCTCTCTCTGAGAGTGATTGCTGGAGCTGGAAAAAAATACAAGATTCATTTTCTGTCTTCAGCCCTTTTTTTTCTGAATCATTTAGTTTGTATTGACATGATGTCTTTCACTGTAAAAACTTCCGATGTGTCATTAAAATCAGCATCCAGAGGAAGCTGGAGCTGTTTGTGTTGTACATGTGGCTGGACGACTCCAGGTCAAATTATTTATGTCAAGCGCAGCAATTTATTACCCAGCAGCTATTGATTGGGTCCTCCTCATGCTGTCATGTAAATTCAAAAAGAATCATGGTCGGCAGCTGCAAGCCTCACACACAGAACCAAACAGTAACACACACATGCTCACACACACACACACAGAAGCACACAGACAAGCCTGTGCGCACACTCGCCA